TCTCCCTTTGGTCTTCCTTGTTGGATATGGTCGGCTCATCTCTGTTGCGTGAGCCAAGATACGTTTTCAAATAGCCACGGTGGATCAAGTTTTCAATCTGATCCCGCAGGGCATAACAGGTTGACGTGTCGTGCCCGTGGTCCTTGTGGAAGCAACAGTACTTACTTTTGTCTTTCTTTGCCTCAGGCTTCCGAGTTTTTCTAGGCAGTGAGAATAAATTGTCAAACCCGCCCATCTCCACGGCTACTAGTATCTCAGCTATAGGTTTATTGGTTGGAGTATACTTGTCGAACCGGGGACCTTTTTTGAAATTGATTCGACCGTCATCACGACGGTCTGGTTTGTCTTAAGTTCGGTGACTCGAATCTAGGTCATCATCTTGCTGTTTCTGAGGCTTGTCGTCTTGACTGTTGTAGCACCTCCCACTGTTGCCTTCCAGAGTTCAAGACCGTCAATGTATCTCCGAGCTCGGATGAGGAGCTCCTTCAGGAAGGTAGTCGGGTTACTCCCGAGCTCGACCACCAGATTTTTATCGTTCAGTCCAGTGGTAAAGTAAATTATGGTCATCTCATTGGTGCAGTTGACGACCTTCACATGCTCATCCATGAACCGAGTGATATAGTCGGTCAAAGACTCTCTATCTTATTGCTTGACTGTTCCAAGATGGGAAGTGGGCAGTTTCATCAGCTAACGAGCTGAGAACTGGTTAATAAACATCTTACGTAGTCGCTGATAGACTTCAGCTTCAACTGTCTATACCAAAGTCAAGCCGAGCCTTCAAAAGAGATCTAGAAGGCTCGACACTTTATCGTATCGCTCGCCACTAGAAAGTCCATCTTGCCCTCAAAGATTTCTACGTACAAGACAGGATCTCCCGATCCATCGTATGGAGTCATCGTTAAGGGCTTGAACTTGTGAGGAATCGGCTCGTCGAGGATGTCCTAAGAAAAGGGCAGCTCTTCTCCCTCGCATTCTCCTGAACTTGGGGATTCTGGTTCAGCTGTAAGTTGGCCTGGAGGCCATCAGCTCGACCCCTCTCCCCTTGGGCCCCGGTTGGGACTCTAATCGTCGGGTACGATTTCCTCCCTCATGGAGCGCCGGGAGTCAGTCCCTGAAGGTCTTGACGACCTAAGAGTAGGTTCGCCGGGTATAAGTTCGGCAAGCGCGATCGCGGTTGTTATGTATGGGAGAGTGAGAGTGTGTTAGGATTGCCATTGCTCAGTTCAGGTGTTGGTAGGAGATGACTTGAGAAATTAGTCGTTCCCCACAAATGGCACCAAATGTTTGATCACGAAAGCGATCAACTCCTAAAGTTTCGGATCGGCAAGGATGAGCTGTTAAGAACTCCAGATGTCGTATAAGAGACCTGCAAAAAAGAGTAAACACTCTGATGCTAAAGTCCATAAGCGTCAAAGTTAGCTCAAGAGAGAGAATTGGGTTGTTCGCATACTTTGAAATGGAGCGGAATGGTCCTATTTATAGGGGAAGCCTCCGACAACGTTCCCGACAAGGCCTCAACGACTCTTTAAGGTTGTCGTGAAGTGCGGCGTGATGTCGCGGTCGCGGAGTCAGTCAGGAAATAGCCTGAGCTGAAGAGCTTGATTGTATTGTCTAGAAATAAACAAAAAGCTATATACTAAGAAATTATCAATACAATGAAGCTCTTTATTATGGATTCGTACACACAAAATTTGTAACATGTTCCCTTAAATTGGATGTGAATATAATAATAAGCCTTGAAAGCTTCAAATAATTCCAAAATGTAATGCCCCACAAAAGGCCTCAAAATAGGAACGATTCTCTACCCCAAAATACCAATATCTTTCTAAAAATGTGTATCCACTGCCGGATTAGTTTAAAGGCAATTATTTATTAAATCTCGAATCGCATATCATATATTTCTTTCAATATCTTCATATGAAAAGTGAATGGATTTTTTTATAGTATCACAAAAAATGTTAACAAAATATTCAAAAAGAAAAATATATAATAACGCATATAATGTTAATATTTCTTATTTAAAAGGTGTGGAATTATTCTTATTTGTTAATTTAAATATAAAATTTTTATTTTTATAATTTTACCTAGATATTTTCAACAACCTTTTTCCACTAAACTGAGATTTCATTTCTTGTATAAGATCGAGGAATTTTGTCATAGATAGTGGCAGAATCTGTTCCCTCGAGGTTGGGCCTATTCTGCTTTATTATCTAAAGATTTTTTTTTTTGAGACATTGATTATCGATGACTTTATTGCATGTATTCCATGCAGAAACAAATAGAATGAGATGATATTAGGTAAAATGAATGGTTGAAAACAATGAAGGTGGTTTGAAATTGAGAAGCAAAACGAGGTAGCACAATAGTAAAAATAACAAGAACATAAAAATAGTTATGATATAAAAATAGAAAATAAAATTTCTATAAATTTCTTCCTTTTTCTTAGAATACTTTCTTCACAGAATGTGTGAATTAATGAACTACAAATTACCTTTATTTATAGACAATTGGATGGATAGATACAAGGCGTAAGAAATTGGATACCAAAGATGTATAGCAACTAGGCACATGGAACATTAGAGATTAAACATATAGATCATAGGCAATGAGACATGCATGCATATTTGGAAATTAAGCAAATGAGCATCTATTATATAATAATGTTTATAATAGAATGGTTTATATTTTTCTTTGTTTTTGGCATAACGTGGGACCACGTACTTAGAAAGTCATGGAAAGAATTTTGTTTAGTTTAACTATCACGGGTGAGGGATCAAGCCATTGACTCAAGATAATAATAGAGGTAACAACAAATATAGTCACTTAAAATAGATCATTTCAAAGAATAGCCTAGAGAAACTTTTAGGAACATTCTCAAAATTGTATATAAATTTTCTTAAGAAATCTAAGTATTTCCAACTAACTATGTTTCTT